GTATTCTGTTGGTCTGCATAGTGTTTAGATGACTGTGAGGTTGTCAGAATCTCCCCTTGTTATTCCACCTATCTTAAATTTTGAATTGATAGTCTCCAATCCTATGGTAGTGTTCCTTGTTTGATAGATGACATGTAGAAACTATACTACTGGTCATGTGACTTCAAAATAAGTTTCTAGAAATGCTTATCTAGAACATCTACTGCTCGCCATACAAGCATACAGTACTAATACTTGTTAGAAATAGATTCCTTTTAGAGAAACCTGAAACTAACTCTAAAACATTTCTTAAAAGCCTGAGTGAAGGTAAAACATTTAACAAAATGTTGTTTGCAAAACACATAGTTGATCAGATTTTAAGTGGTCCTGGAAACTGCTTTAAAACAACTGACCTGTTACGGCGTGTATTGTCTTGAAGAAAACCTAATAGAGGTGAACCTACCAGCACTGAGCTGCTGGGAAGTAATCTAGAGTTTGGTTCTGTTTTGGGCTTTAAGCTGTCTTTAGTAGTTAAACAACACAAACTTAAATGAGGTGACTACACTGGGGGAAAAGTTGCTTTGCATTTAAAACAAACATTTTAGTGAGAAAGAGGAAATGTTATTATCTATACTTAGTAAACAGATGTGTGTGTTTCTGGTCTCCCCCCCCCCCCCCACACACACCCCGTGTAAATCCCAAGCGGTCCCGCTGGGTGTAAGTGGTGTAAACAGGGCGGTGTGGCTTCTCGGGCGGAGCTGCACGCCGCGGGCTTGGCCCGACTGGTTCTCTCGGTGGGGGGCCTCGTTAGCGGCCGCCTCGTTAGTGAGCTCTTAATTGGCGCCAATTAGGGCGCCCACGCGCTCCCCGGAGGAGCCAGCTCCCTGCTTTACTCCTGGTTTACACAGCCCGCAATAACCCCGGGTGCGACGTGTGGGACCATGGGCCGCTGGCCGTGGCCTCCAGAGATGGACACGTGTGGTGGTGACATGCCAGCCGTGGCTACCAGGCTGGACATAGGGGGTGGGGGGTCATCATCCGTGGCTTCCCAGGCTGCACACGTGTGTCCTCCAGGCTTGGACATGTGTGTCTTCTTGCTGTGGACATACGTGGCCTCTAGACCCGGACATGTGTTCTCTAGACCCGGACACGTGTGGCCGTGGGTTGCCAGCTGTGTTCACCAGACCTGGACATACGTGTCCTACAGACCTGGACGCATGTGCACTCCAGACGTGGACACATGTTCTGCAACCTGCACATGTGTCCTCCAGATCTGGACGTGCATGTCCTCCAGACCTCAACGTATGTCTTCTAGAGCTGGACATGCGTTGCCTGTCAGCACCAGACGTGTGGTTGCAGGTTGCCACCGTGGCCACCCATGGCCGTGAGTTGCCCGCCATGGCTGCCAGCACCAGACGTGGGGCTGCAGGGTGCCAC